GAACCCTTTTTAAACCCAAAAATGCGGCTACTGGACCTTATTCCAACTAACTACTGAATACACTTCCGGCTTTGCATCCTGTTCAACATAATAAACGCCTCCTATTCTCCAATGTTACCAAACTGACTAAAATGCAGTAATAAAGCTCTCCTGAAAAGCCAAACTTATCCAGAACATTTTAAAAACTATTGGCCTATATCGAATCTCACATTCCTCTAAAAAAAAATGTAAAGCTGTTGCTCAGCAACTCGCTGCCTCGTGAAGACACATAATGTATACGAAATACTCCAGTCTGGTTTTAGACCCCCATTATAGTACTGAGACCGTACTCATGAAGCAGTGGAGGCTGCTGAGGGGAGGACGGATCATAATAATGGTTGGAATGGAGTAAATGGAATGGCATCCAACACATGGAAACCATGTGTTTGATGTATTTGATACCATTCCACTGATTCCGCTCCAGCCATTACCACAAGCCATTCTCCCCAATTAAGGTGCCACCAACCTCCTGTGTCGTGAAGGTGGTAAATCACCTTGTAATGGTGTCAGTCCAAGGCTCTGCATTGTCCTCGTGCTCCTAGACCTTAGTGCCCCTTTTGACACCATCGATCACCACATTTTTTGGAGAGATTGGAAACCCTAATTGGTCGACGCTGAAAATGTTTTCCTGGTTAGATCCTATCTGTCGGAAAGATATCAGTTTGTCTCTGTGGATGGTTTGTCCTCCGAAAAATCAATGGTAGTTTCGGTGTTCCTCAAGGTTCTGTTTTAGAACCACTATTGTTTCCACTATATATGCTACATCTTGATGAGTCATTTGGAAACACAATGTCAACATTCACTGCTATGCAGAAGACACACAGCTGTATATTTTGATGAAACGTGGTGAAGCTCCAAAATTGCCTATCCTGGAAGCCTGTGTTTCAAGTGGATGACAGCAAATGTTTCACTTTTAAACTCGGACAAATCAGAGATGCTAGTTCTAGGCTAAAAGAAACAAAGGATCTGCTGTTTGATCTGACAATTAATCTTGTTGGTTGTACAGTCATCTCAAAATAAACTGTGAAGGACCTCTGCGTTACTCTGGACCCTGATCTCCCTTTTGGCCAAAAAATGATGCAGAAAAAGGTCATCCATGCTTTTGTCACTTCAAGATTATACTACTGCAATGCTCTACTCTCCGGCTACCCGGATAAAGCACTAAATAAACATCAGCTAGTGCTAAATACGGCTGCTAGAATCTTGACTAGAACCAAAACATTTGATCATATTACTCCAGTGCTTCGTGTTAAGGCTAGTGCTGATTTCAAGGTTTTACTGCTAACCTACAAAGCATTACATGGAATTGCTTCTACCTATCTCTCCGATTTGGTCCTGCCGTACATACCTACATGTTGCTAGGGTCACAAGATGCAGGCCTCCTTATTGTTCCTAGAAATTCTAAGCAAACAGCTGGAGCAGGGCTTTCTCCTATAGAGCAACATTTTATGGAATGGTCTGGCGATCCATGTCAGAGACACAGACTCGGTTTCTCAACTTTTAAGTCTTTACTGAAGACTCATCTTTTCAGTAGGTCCTATGATTGAGTGTAGTCTGGCCCAGGGGTGCGAAGGTGAACGGCAAGGCACTGGAGTGACAAACCACCCTTGCTGTCTCTCCCTGGCCGGCTCCCCTCTCCACTGGGATTCTCTGACGCTATTATGGGGGCTGAGTCAATGGCTTGCTAGTGCTCTCCATGCCGTCCCTAGGAGGGGTGAATCACGTCGTTTCAGTTCTTTTTTGCTATACTAGTATTGAATGGTTTGAGTCACTGACGTGATTTTCCTATCCGGTTTTGGATACCCTCGGGCTCGTGCGGTGGTGGGGATCTTCGTGGGCTATCCTCTGCCTTGTCTCAGGTTAGTAAGTTGGTGATCTGATGTTATCCCTCTGGTGGTGTGGTGGCTGTGCTTTGGCAAAGTGGGTGGGGTTGTATCCTGCCTGGTTGGCTCTGTCCGGGGGTATCGTCCGACCACAGTGTCCCCCGAACTCCCTGTCTCAGTCTCGAGTAGCTATGCTGCAATAGTCTATGTGACGGGCCTAGGGTCAGTCTGTTTCCCATCAGGTCTAATTCTTCTGTCTTATCTGGTGTCCTGTGTGATCTTACGTATGCTCCCTCTAATTTTCCCATCTCAATCTCGCTCTCGGCTCTTCCCTCCCGGTGGACCTGAGCCCTAGGACCATGACTCAGGTCTACCTGGTCGTGCTGCTGATCCAGTTTTCTACTGTTCTGCCCGTGGCTATGGAAACCCGACCTGTTTCATCGGACGTGATACCTTGTCCCGGACCTGCTGTTTCGATTAACAGTCATTATTGTATTATTGTATTGACCTATTCCGGGTAGTAGAGGGCTTTATTTCCATTACTGGTATCTTTATAATTCTATCGAATAAGACTTAGTTTTAGACAAACACGGGAGGCTATAACACCCCACACACCCACACATCTTATGCAAGTTGGTGGCTATTATATATGTTTGGAGGCTTACTACAAGGCTTACTGGTAATTACTGTAATAGTGAGGATTCTCCTTGTGCTGCAAGAAATCAAAATAGACACTTGTAAGTTATTTTTCAGTCTTATCCTATAAATCATTAAAGATTGAATAGGGCCCTGAGTGATGTTCAAACACATCACCATCTTTGACATCTGACAATGAACTCTGCGACAACTCTAATATGAACCTCACGCTTGGGTGTTCAATATTAATCCGTTAAGCTCTTTCTTTGCATAAAATGTTTCTGTACAGATAGTTATTATCTCTGTAATGATGATTGCATTTCCAAATGAACAAGAGCTCCTCAGAATCAGCAGTTATGTAATTACTAATTAACCCATGACTGGCCTCCTCATAACAAGTGGAAAATATTAGCCCCTATGTTTCAAATGATATTACAGAGATTAAGTGCATGGTGTCTTGCTACTATTATTGATAAAGTACTTATATTATTTTCTGGTCATACATATGGTACCACTCGAGCTTTGCCTGAAGAGCAGTTTGGTAATAATAGCTAGTGTTTCCCTGCATCCTCGTTGTTGCAGATGTTTCATTGGAGTGTGGTCAATCTTCCATTCTAAACCATCAACATCCTACAGTCCTTTGATGACCTCTACCAACTGATGGAGGGACATCAAAGAAGAGGCTGTGTTATTTGAAGTTAAATGAATGGATATGAAGATTAAGTTTAATAATGTCAAACTTGTCTTTGATATTTGAAGTGACGATAAGTTTAGATAACTCCATGATGTTATTGTGTCTTGTGTTGACCAGTGGGTAAAATGTCTCTTGTAAAATATGTTCTAATGAGTTGTCATGACGGCGACCCTAAAAACCTCTTAAATGTTCCACATTTGTCACCCTCAACGACCTTAGTTATGTGTTCCTTCTCCTAATGGTGCGTCCTTACTCCATATCCTATTATTCTCAGTCCAATAAATCCCATTTATGGAAAAAGCATCAGAATGGGCCTGATAGTTGGGGTCAAGGGTTATTGGCATGAAAGCTATTTGGATGGCAGGTTTGGAGGCCGGATTGCACTCTTTTTCAGGCCTATAGGACTATTTGTGATTGCATGCAAGTGTGTGTGGTGTGTGTGTGTGCAATGCAGTTTTATACAGGTCCGTGCCAGTACCATTAACCAAATCATGTCCCATAATGGAAAGCATAATTTCCTTTTGTACACTTGTTCTATGAGCTTACTGATGGACAAATCTGAATACATTTTTAATATCGGCAAAAGCGTTTGTCTACAATGTGAGTTTTTGTTAATGTACGTATTTGGTCTTTGGAACATCGGGTACTTTTTGACATATTTCATAAATCAAGCCATGTGAATACATGTTAAAATGATCAGATATTATCATTTTTGGTATATAGATTGTCCGGACCAATATACTTTATTTTTATTTTTTACAAAATCCACACACCCCCTCTCACACACACACGCCCCCTAGAGTGTATATAGTCTAAGCAAACCAATGCAAGTTAATGGAGACTGGAGAGTCAATCATTTTACAGATTCTCCCTCTTCTCAGATCTTAAATATGTTCAGACCGTAATTATTTAGGGTATATATATTTCCTGTACCAATATAAAGTTGAAGTCGGAAGTTTACATTTAAACTCAGTTTTTCACAATTCCTGACATTTAATCCTAGTAAAAAGTCCCTGTCTTAGGTCAGTTAGGATCACCACTTTATTTAAGAATGTGAAATGTCAGAATAATAGTAGAGAGAATTATTTATTTCAAGCTTTTTTTCTTTCATCACATTCCCAATGGGTCAGAAGTTTACATACACTCAATTAGTATTTGGTAGCATTGCCTTTAAATTGATTAACTTGGGTCAAACGTTTCGGGTAGCCTTCCACAAGCTTCCCACACATAAATTGGGTGAATTTTGGCCCATTCCTCCTGACAGAGCGGGTTTTGTAACTGAGTCAGGTTGTAGGCCTCCTTGCTCGCACACGCTTTTTCAGTTCTGCCCACACATTTTCCATAGGATTGAGGTCAGGGCTTTGTGATGGCCACTCCAATACCTTGACTTTGTTGTCCTTAAGCCATTTTGCCACAACTTTGGAAGAAGACTTGGGGTCATTGTCCATTTGGAAGACCCATTTGCGACCAAGCTTTAAACTTCCTGACTGATGTCTTGAGATGTTGCTTCAATATATCCACATAATGTTCCTTCCTCATGATGCCATCTATTTGTGAAGTGCACCACTCCCTCCTGCAGCAAAGCAACCCCACAGCATGATGCTGCCACCCCGTGCTTCACAGTAGGGATGGTGTTCTTTGGCTTGCAAGCCGACCC